ATCACACAAATGCTCTTGCGGTTTTGTGGTCACCACTGAAGATTGCGGTATGTGGTGGGCTGAGATATTTTTGCCAATAGGTGGAATACAGCTGGTTTTCATTTGAGAGGAAACCTGACAAGGCTAATACACTGTCACAATAATTCAGCACAAAACACTGAAGTTTAAAATGTTTTCCTATATTTTCCCAGCATATATATGTGACTCAAACACTTTGGAGAAGAGGAACACTGAACTGTCTATACAGTGCATGCATATTAATAAACATATACTTATTTTTGATGTGGAGGATAAAAATTTTCCAAGTTCTCTTGCACACTAGGAAAAAGCTAGATTTTATGAGTGTGAGAATGGGAAGATGAGAAGGAAGGAGATGACTGAGCGGTGAAAGTACAATGGAACATTCCTCTCTGCCCCACTGCAGGTTGCCAAAGGCTCCAAAGTGGACAAAGCAAAGAGGAGCTGAATTCAGACCAAAGAGGGACAGAAATGTTATCCTCTTGTTCATAACTATGGAGGGCCAAACATATTATCAATGGGATAAATGTTTTTTTTAGGCCCCTATTCCAACAGAAGGTTGCTTGAATATTAAGAATATAGAGCTGTAAACTTATCTGCACCTCACTTCCAGGACAGCTCAGCCACGTCAATAGAACGCTCTGCAAAGGTCATCAGTTTTATCTGGAGATGGCCAAATGCCAAAATGGTTTGTAAAAGGACAGGCCTTTCTGTTCTGCACATTGGGGTGTAGTTCAAAGTTCCCTGAGTTGAAAATCCTTGTGAGAGAGAGAATAAGCAAGGTAGATGAGAATGACAACATTTGTGATGCTTCTGCACTGGGGGACTGAAGCAGCATCACTGCAGGGTGCTCGACAGACCTACAGATGGTTTTGGGGCTAGTTTGGTATTTTAAACACAGAGCTGCTGTCTTCATGGTGATATTGTTGGTGAAGATTGTCTCCACAACCTAGTCTGAAGTTTCATTTTAATTTTTTTTAATCACCGATCTATCATGGTGAAAAATGTCCTCAATTCACAGAGAAAAACTCTTACCCAAATGAATGCCCAGGCATGGTTCTAGCTTACCTCACGTGAGATGGGGGTGAGTTTTACAAGCAGACTGACACGTTTCTTTATAACAGTCTAGTGTAACTGTCATTTGATTTTACCCATAAAAATCCTTGTATAAAAGCAACAGCTACGGAAATCATGTTCTGGGTTTGAATTTCATAAAAACAGAATTGCACTTTTGATACAACTGCTCTTTTTATGATGTCTGTGAATAATTCTCCATTTAGATTTCAAATTACAGCCCTATGCAAGTTTTAAGAAAGCCACCTTAAAATCTCCTTGGAATAGTCAGAAACAGACTATTACCTGTATGTAGTCTGTAACTTGCTGGTGTCTTTGTTTGGCTGCAGCGACTTCACTGTCTGAAATTGCTTCCCTTAGGGATTGCTGGGTTTTCAGAGAGTCCAGCTCTATGACAGCAGAAAGGCGGCAATACAGGCTTATAAATTTTTCCTTGTAACAGCAAAAATGAACTGTGAAAAGACCAAGTGCAAAGGAAACATTGTTATATTCTGGTTATGAAATATGATATCCTTAGCTTTCAGTACACAGATTTTATTAAATGTAATTACTAACTCTCTGGATGGGTTATTTTAAGCTAGAAATAAATAATACAGGTTCTAATTCTCCTCTCATTTACACTGGGTTTGCTCTGCAACTTCACTGATTTCAGAAGAACATTTCTAATATATATCTAAGTGAAAGGATAACCAGGTCCTTAGTATGCAACTCCAGAGGCTATCTTGCCCTTGCTAGCTTTAATCAGAAAGGCTGTTTCTGAGACTTTTATAGCTCATCATTTCTTTTATCAAGAAAGTAGTGACATGACTGGAAAATGGAACTAATTTTGATTTTTTTTTTTTTATGGAGTGTTTCAGAAAGAAAGTATAATTTTGAAGGTTGATAACTTTCTCTTTGGCTAAGCTAGCTTAAAGTGGCAAGTTAAATGTAAATGACTCAGCAGTAAAAGCATTTCAGTGATATCACAGTTTGGGTGAAACAGTTAAAACTCTTTTAGGTGCTGTCACATATCATCCTCTGAACTCTCATGCAGAAGGGTAACACGGAAGGTTCAGACATGACCTCTTGCTTTGTGTAATTTGGCTTTGGAGTAGCAGACACCTACCCGTGGTACCTCTAGAAGAGGTAACTAGATAACAGAGACAGAACAGCCATGGGGCCGTGGAGCTTCACGAATGTTCGTTTACCTGGCCTCTTAAAGCTACCTAAATCCAGAACCTGCAATTGCTCAGGCAAAACTTACCTCTGCAAACCACAGTGCAGACATACTGAAACCTGCTGAGGAAGAGCAAGTTTTCAGAAACACATCCCCATGCACTGGTGCTTCAATAAAGGCAAGCGCCCAGCGTGATGCTGTTGCAGCAGAGGATGCCGGTGGGCTCACTACTGCTACTTTTCTGGATTGTGACACAACATTTTTCAGGGTGTTTCCAGTGCAAATTGCATATATTCTTCTTACCATAAATTTTAAAAAAGAAATAAAACCAGAGTCGCTTTTCTACTTATCCCTTGCAAACAGCATGATAAGAATAACAGAAGTATTTATCAAACTAAGAAAATCCATCACAGAAACATCATTAACGTAACAACAAAGGCCTAACCTGAACATAGAAATCCCACAAAAAAGAGTGAAAGAAAGAATTCTAACTCCTGTTTTCCCAACGATGCCTAGATATTGCTGGGACCTACACTGAATAGTGTGTGGTCTTACAGTATATATGCCACATGTGGTGGACTCTTGAGTGAATTACAGCCGCGGTTTCAGCTCCAGTGCTGAAGTTTCTAGCCTTTGTGGTTTTAAGTCAGACCCTTTAATGTTACTTTAACAAATGTTACTTCAACATAGTCTTTTGTGGTTATGCAATTATATAGTTGGTAGCCACCAGCTAATGGGGAATGGAAGCTTCTAATATTTGAGATGTGAATCACAGTCACTTTATAGAACATCAGGGATACATATATAATAAGTCACATAGAAATGTCATCTGCCTTTGGCCAGATGATTGCTTGCTTAAAAAAAAATATTCAAAAGTAAAATTCATCTCTCCATACTGTTTTCTCCACCATGAGCTGCTTTCTCACTGCAGCAACATTGCTAAGCTGGGAGGTCTGCGCCCAGAGTGCCTTTGGAGACATTATTCTGTTGTTGCACATTTATCTGCACCACACCAGCCCTCTCAGTGTCCATTGCTTTGTCAGCCCAATGCAAACCATGTCCCAGAAGTGAGAATGACTCCTGCCTCTGGCCTGTGTGCCACATAAGGAGAGTTAAATAGTCTGCAAAGCCTCTAGTGTGGAGATTAATTTTGCCAGAGGTGAATGTGCTTCACGCATTAATTTGCACAGTGAATGCAGCAGTCAGCTCGCACGGCGAGAAATGACACGCTGACTACACAGGGTCTAACTATAGACTTCAGGGCTGTGTGTCAAGAAGATAGTAAGTCTGCCTTTAGGGCACTACATCCATGGCCATATGACCCAAAGCACTGAACTAACCCTTCTAGTTCAATTACATTAGTTTTCTTTTGAAGGGGTAACTTTTCCTTGGCAGACTGCGCCAGCTCATGTATTTTCTGTCTGTACCACTCATAATTTTATGGCAGCTCAGCTGTCATCTGTCCTCCCACAACCAGCATAAAACCCCAGAGTTGTCACAGGCACTGCTTTGAGTGCTCTGGCTGGTGTGGCATAAACACAATCATATATTCCTGCCTGATACAAATTAATTTTGTGTTGCTGGTGAGGGTAGGTCATGGATCTATTATGACTGCAGAAACATAGTTTCAGTAAGGCCCTCCATTAACATCTAATCATTGTTTTCCTACATTAGTGACTCTAACAGCATTTAGTCATGATATGTAGGAAATGGGATGGTAATGGTGTCACATAAACACCTGAGAGATTATCCCTAAGGACACACTTGCCACTAGAGTCCTATTCCTTGTAGTAGCTCCTTGTGCATTGACTCTTATCAGTTTGGGCTCATATCTTTCTCTCTCCTCCGAGGCAGAGGAAAGAAAGGTAGCCAGTTTTACAGGCCAGAAGGAAACAGAGGAGGCTCATGTGTATGGCTCAGCAGTCCTCATACTTCCAATATTCTTTCTAAAAAGAACTGGTAAGTCTTTATGAGCTACTTTTATGTGGAACCTTTCTTTTCTCTGTGTACCAAAGAAGAAGAAATGAGAAATAGAGGAGCTTGAAGCTAATGCATCTTGGACTTTCTATGAGACAGCTGGAAAACTCTGGTTTAGGGAATTATTACCCAGTCAGCAATGCAGTGGAACAAGAGGGCTGAATGCGCAGGATGTGCTTCTCTCCACAGCACAGGATGTGCTCCCTAAAGAAACAGATTCAAGTCCAGTGCTTTGGCATTTTTCACAACAGGCTTTTCCTGGACCACAGCAATGGGACTTAGTCCCCCGCAATTTTTCCAGGAATCAGAAGGAAAAAGATGACCCTCATGTGGGAAACTCCACTCAGACCTTTCGCAAAGTTGTGAGGCAGTCAGACCTCAAGTAGGACTATCTGCAGTGAGGAACTGCAAAAATTCTCTTCAAAACCGGTTATTATTCTTGTGACAATTTAGAGGGACGTTTTTTAGCATCTCCTTTCACGCTCCAAGCTTGCTGTGTTGTGTGTAATTTTTTTTGGTTCTGTTTTTTAAAGAACATCATCTTTCAAACAAGCTTATAGACAGTGGATAACTGTGGGCTTTGCTCTGCGCTTTGCATTTCAGTAGGATTGCTACAGTGTATGCTTTAACCGCCCTGCTCCCCCTGTAACTTGTACACAGTTATAGGTAGTGTTGTTGCCAAAGCCATCATGTGATTTATGGACTCTCCACTGGGACAAGGGGGAAAACAGATACAACTTTGTGATTTTATTATAAGGAGACTGGGTTAATATTTCTAGGTGAAGCAAGCTACTATACCGAGTTCAAACATCTGAAGAGGGAGGTTAAGAAATCCTGAGTGTGGGGTGTAAGGATTATTCTGTCCCGGGGCAGTGCAGACGTCGTCTGAGGCGGGGAGCAGGAGAAGAAAGGAGACATTGTGACCCAGTTCCAACACCTCCTGTGTATACAGACGGAAGTGCTTAGCCTGTAGAGGGACACGCGCAGGGGAAGAAATAGGAGAGAATTACAACATGGCACTTATATAAACAACACCCCAAATGATATAAAACATTAAAGAAAATTTGCACAACATCAAGCTTGGAATTTTTATAAAACATAAATATTTGGGGGGGGGACGACTAAATGTGGGTTCATGTCACTACATAAAATAAAGATTTAAAGCTGCAATGTTCCACATTAAAACAACACACACAGGCACAACCCCCCTGAAAACAACATTTATGTTTCTTATTAGGCAGAAAATGATCACATGCCATGTGCTTTTCAAGATTATGATTGCATAATTATGTGAAAACATGAAAATGGATTCAATTAAAAACCTTTAAGATTCAATTTAGGGTTGGTTAAGAGAAATATGCAGCTCTCCCTCAACACAGCACTGAAAAGGTTTAACAAGTGCTTCAGCACGAGAAAATGGCACACACAGGAGTTGGCCTGAGGCTGCTGTAGAGCTGCTGTATGCAGCACTGCGTTTTACCCTGGGTGTGCACCAGTGTCACTGCCCATGATCCTGTCTACCACAAGAAAAAAAACACCCAAACCATAAATCTGTTGAATTAAAAATTCAATTCATTAACACAGAAGTTTGGTCCTGAGTCATCAAAACATTTACAACTGTGTTTAGCTGCAAGGTCACGTTTATGTCTGTCTCTCATGCACAATAGACGAGTTTAAATGGTTGGCTGAACTGCAGCCTAAGGATCATACTGCACAGTGATTTAAATATTTTAGTCCCGGGTTCAAAAAAAGCCAAACCAAAACAAAACCCAAAATGCACAAAAGCTATAACCTCCGGGAAAATGCACTAACACAGAGACCTGTACAGACCCCTATTGAATTAGAGTGACTGACCACAAGGCAGCACACCATCTGTCTTAATTTTGCATTTACTTGAGTCTTACTTGGCTCTTCCCAGGCTAGAAGGTGCAGCACTGATGGATTCCTTTTTTAAAAGCAAAGCCTAAACCTTTCAAAATCAAGAAATGCAGAACCAGATTAATTTATTTTAAGGCCACGTCTTTCTAGCTGCACAAACAGACCTTGATGTGAATATAAAGTTGATTTACTTCTACTTTAAGCCCTCTTTACCCTTGTAGACCAAAATAAAATGGAATTTGTGTAAACAAGAAACAAACTCTTTAGCTTATTTTTTCATGGATCTTTCACATCATAGATTATCCTCCCTGACTTTATTTATTCACATATGCATTTCTTGTACCTAAATGTAAAGCCAGAAGCCAGATACCTCTCCTCACCCACAGCAATCTGGAAGTCTGGAACTATGTGTTTTAGAAGTGCTACATTTATTTGTGTGTTAAAGAACAGCAAAGTGCTGTGTCTTCAGCAGGCCTCCACGTACCCTCATTTATTACCTCCAAAAGAAGAGTCAATTGCCCTTCTTGGCTGGAAAAATACCTATTTTCCTTTCCCAGCTGGGTAAAGGTGCTCGATACTATTAGTTTCGTGCAAAAGTGCTTATTTGCACCTGGCTGAAATATGCTAGAAAGATGCAAGAATAGGATCTAATTGATAATTTGTCTTTTAATCTTTATGTGGTCAAAAATCCAGGAAAATAAATGTATGTTCCTCCCCCCCTGCCCCCCTTAAAATAATGGAATACAAAACTTCTCAGCTTTTCTTTTCTTGCAACCATAAAATTTAATCCCTACTTGCAAGTTACACAGTTTGTAGCTTTTAGCTGTGCTCCTAAGAATCAGGTTTTAAAAAGGTGATAAATACCACAAAGGAAAATACCTGATGCAGAGGTAGATTGATCTGTTTAAGGAGAGCTTTCACTGCCATCTGGAGCTCATACAAGAACAATTGAGTAGGGCAGTCTGAAGTATGATCCATACTTTCCACAGATTCAGAGCCAGAAAGTGTTTGGATCCATTCCCACTCATCTCTGTATGTTGAGTAAAGTTAAAATTAGAAATATAACAAAAGTTCAGTGCACAAGCAGGACTTCAGTGTATGTGCATTTGGAATCTGTTGATAGTTTAATCCCCATATAGCAAAACATTCTAAACTTGTTCTATCTTGATTGTTTGTGGTTAAAAATCTAATTTTGAAAAGTTTAATTTTTCTAGCACATGTACATCAGGCTGAACATTCCTTGCAAACCTCTGGAAGTCCAGCTGCCTTTGAAATATTTCACTAAGGCTTCTCACTCCAGGTTTTCTTTTTCACATACCTCATTCCCTATCTACCACAATATTTAAAAAATTATGCATTGGAAATGACAACAGTGACAATTAGCAGGAATTTTAATTTCTGTGACAGACTCTCTTGTACTCACTGGAGCCAAAGAACTTCCTGGTTTGCTTGACATATATCCTTTCTAGACCTGATAAACACGGGAATCATCTTTCTGGATCAAATCCTTAATTCACCCTGCCCAGTATTCAGTCTTGAAAAGCAGCCAGCACCAAACATTTGAGAAAAAAAAAGTACAGGAAACCCTACCACTAGACAAGTAATAGATGTGGTACAGTTTGCTCCTAAATAAAGATATGCCCTTAAACTTCAAGACTCAGAGGTTGCCTTCAACACTGAAGTACTAGGCTTTATATTCCTTCCAAAATCTTTCATAACATTAACTACTACATTCTGGTTATCCCTGTTATCCATATAGATATCCAGTTCCCTTTTCCTCATGCAAAATTAACGTTTGCTGAAATGATAGGGGATTAAAAAACCCAGAAAAAATACCCCAGTAGAATGTGTTGCCCACTAGGGAAGGACAAGGCAGTATAAAAAGTGCCCTTGCCCCATAGGTAAGGGAAGCAATGGACAAAGGGGAGAATGGTTTTCCCAGTGCACAGCATTTGTGCTGATAGCATTTGTCTGAATATCCTGTATGTGTGCTGTGGATTACAGCAAGAAAACAGATGTTACACAAGAAAATATACAAAAAAAATCACCAACACTCATGGTCGGGGAAATTCAATAGAAAGAGGGACTGAATTCACTGGAGGCTGAATCAGGGCTGCAGGCTATGACCTTCCTAAAAGATCTATGGAAGATCATTACCACTGTGCAGAATCTGAGTGGCCACAGAACACTACCCTTAGAAACCAAGGGGTTTACAGGTTGGTGTGCTGGACAGGCCTCCTGGTAGCTGGGAGCACACAGCAGCTCAGTTCAGTGCTGCTCTCGGTGCTGCTGTGTACACACCCGAGCCAAGTTTTGCTGGCACTTGCAATTTTGCAATTGTAAAATTGCCTTAGTAGTCAGATTTGATCAATTTTTTTCAAACTTAAAGCAAGCATTCTCTGTCTTTACATATGTGTGTGTAAATATGTATATATTCACTTACCTGGAGACGTTGCTGTTGTCTCGGATTTTAACATGACACAGGACATTAGGCAACTTCTGCAGCACAAGCACTTTGATTTGATCCACAGAACTGCAGAGTTTAAGGTAACCCAGGTACAAGCCAGGAGGGAGGCGTTGCTGACTTCGTTTGTGATAGGAAAGTATGTCCTGTTTTAAGAGAAACAGTCCTACATAATATTTTCATTTTTTTTCCACATAAGCAGAAGAGTTCAGGATCAAAAAGCAACAAATGTTTTTACAGCCGTCTTTTTGTTGCAACAGTGTCCCTGGTTCACAAAGCATTTAAGCACATGCTTAAGCATAACATATAAATAATATCTGGTAGTTTGGATGCAATCGGACAACTTTTTACTGCAAGCCATACACAGGTTCTCTGAGCTCTCTCTGTCATGAAGGAATTGGCTCTAAAGCCCTGAGATTTCAATCTTCTACACTTGCACTATTTAAACTAGCTTGAATAACACCCACCTATGCACTCCTGTCTGATCACTTCAGCAATGAGCTGGGTCAGGGAGCTGGTTCAGCTGAAAAATAACTCGGGGGAAAAGAAGCAGGCATTTTTCAGCCTGAGCAGTTCCCTGGTTCACTTTTGGTGTGTAGCTACACAAACTGAGCAGAGCAGCACTGGGAGAATCTATCACCTGGCTGTGTGAGCCAGCTCTGTCACCAGAAATTCACATAGAGCCCCAGCCTCCAATACCTGTTCTGCATCACCTGCTATCAACAGAAAGATCTTCACGAGCATGGGGGTTGGTGGATTGCAAAGACTAATGAATGGCTGTTTTTTTCTGAACAATTATCTTTATCAACAAATAGAGCTTAGAAGGACTTAATAGTGATGGTCTATTTGCTGAAGCCAGGAGACTTTTTAAGGCTATGTATAGCAATCCCCCAAAACTACCCTAAAAGTGATGTCTGCTGCCAGGCTGAGGAATGTGTGCTTCTGCAGTGGGTGAGGATTAGACACCTGGCCTTATGCCTTTACTCTTGGAACCATCAAATTATCTGCCAGTGCTATGCTTGGCTCTGAGCAATGCAATTAGACCCTCATTTTCACAAGCCCTTCATGAACGAAATACCCGTTTGATGATTAAACAGGTAATAGAAGAAAGGGAGGGCATTAGATAGGAATGTGTAAACCATTAGGGGAAGATTTTTTCCACGAGGATCTTTGTGGAAATCTGATCAGGGCTGTATTTTGGGTTTCCTAATATAAAACTTTTGCCCAGATCGACATTTTTCTACACCTTTAACACATTTTAATACATTAAATCTAACATAGATCAGGTAAGCTTTATTGTCTTTTGGGAATTTTTTAACATTTCTAAAAGCTGGCACTGTACATTTTGATTGCCTGTCAATTTCTGGTACAAAAAGCACAGTCTCTGCTCAAGAAAGTGCCACTAATTCAAAAATTAGCCACAGCAGTCATCATCTCATTGAAGGTGCTAAAGAAGACACTAGGACAATGAATTGTCTTGTAGTGTTTTGGATAACTATACAACTGAGAGAGGCTGCTGACATTTTGTGAGGAATATGTTGTTGTTACCTACAGAAAACAGGTATTAATTTTTATGTGAACTCTGGGTGTTTAACAGGTTACAGATACCCTGATTCCTGAAGGGCTGAAGCCCTATGGCTCTCAATGATATTGACTGAACTGACAATGCAAATCATCTTCAAAAATCAATCCTCACCTTGCTATTTTTCTACTTGGGAAGCCTAGGGGCATGTTATGCAGAAATTAAAGAAGGGTTATGATCAGTAAAGAATTCTTAGCAACTATACCAGGCTCCAAGAAACTCTGAACCCCACAGAACAGGTTTATTAAGAACAGTAAGGTTTTAAACCTAGATTTAGTGTTCAAGGTTGCATGGAAAAGTCTTACGGAGTGTAGAAATTCTAAGTGTCTGTATAGGTGCTTAAGAACATTCCAGTCAATTTTAAAGATTTTTATATCCCTTGCTACAGAATTCTATAGCATTGTTTCCTAAAACTGATAGAAATTACTATTCTCTGCTAGGTCTTTGAATCTCATGGATATTTTATATATTAAAGATCTGATCCCAGACCTACTGGAAGTAATATAAGTCTTCGCTTTCAATGGGAGCCTTGCCATTAATTTTATTGGGCACTGGATTAAGGCCTAAAATTCTACAAGACTCTTCCAAAAATCAGGGCTCTGGCACAGGTTTTACAAAAGCAAATAATATGCAGTAAGAGAAGCAAAGCATTACCTGGATTGTTATAAGCAAGATGTCTAATGCTGTTGGCTCCTCTGGAGTTGAAAGGGATTTCCTCTGGCTTTGTAGTTTGGATACCTGCATCCATTTGCCATTAAAAAATGAATAAAGACTCTCCACTTCTCTTATAGTAACTATCAGCATATTGCCATGTCGATCCTTGATTGGCTCATAAAAAACTCTGCCTAAGTTGTGAGTTCCCAGCAAATTCTAGAAAACAAGCAAATTATACAATGAAAGTTATCACATATCAGGAGAGTGGGGTTTTTTTTTGAATCTTGGTGCTTGCTGGTGTCAGTCCTGTTCAATAAAAACTAGACACACAGTGTTTCTCAAACCCTTGACCTACAGTCATATCATCCAGTGGAAAAAGGGAAAGTTTTTCCCTACTTTGTGCTTGTGGATTGGATTGTGGATCCTCTGATTTACTTGGTCCAGGAGTTAGTGGAGGACATCGCAAAGACTATTACAACTCAGTGCCTTTTTAAAAGGGAACACTGCAATATAATTCACTTATTAAACAGAACTTCCTATTTTTTCCCACTCAGGTAAAGATAAATGATGCAATTTTCAAAAGCACTCAGTATTGGTCTAGTGATGATTCCTTTGGTATCAATGAAGCCTCTCTGATTTGAGCTTACTGAGGAGTGAGGTGCTTCTTTTAACCTCCTCATAACTAATGTCAGAGATGGTAAAAAAATTCTTCCTCTATCTGCAAATCATTCATCATGGACACTCCAAATGTTTTCTGCTAGCGTCATGAAATATAATATCCATTTGCTGTTCTCTGTTTTGAAAGCACTCAGCTTATTGTCGGCAACAAAAGCAAAAGGCCCTCATGTCTGTGTTGAACACACATAATCCTGGAGCTAAACTGTGGGGTGTGCTTGTGAGGGAGCACAGAAGAATTTGAAGAGACATGGACCCTTTTCCTTTTACTTCAGATACCAAGAATGTGCTAGACAAAACCAGCAGCAACTAACAAGCTACCAGGGCAAAGCTCTCCAGGAAAATATGTGAGGATTAAATAAAAGTAATTTTAAAAGACTCCACATAAAATACATATTTGGGTCGAAATCCCTTTCCTCACACAGTAAGGCATCTGCTTATAGGTGCAAACACACTCGATTCAGTGACCAGCCACTGAAGAGATTCCCAGATGTCTTAAAGAAAAATGCCTAACATTTAAAATATGCTCATTACCTTGGGACTTTTCAAGAGCTCTACAGTAAGCTGCGTAGGGATGGGGGTAGTTTAAAATGAAAACTTGAATTCACAATGTAGCACATTGTATGTTTAGCAAAGTACTGCACATTAACTTAATGACATTGTAAATGGATAGATTATCCTGAAATTATTTATCTGTACTTAGCAGGCAATATTTACTTATAAACTGTATTATTAAATTGTCTATAAACGCTAGGTATTCAGCACAGTGACTGTTCTTTATGTGGCATAACTTAGCTATTTTAGCTCTACACATCCCTCTCCAGGGCATACTGTTGATGTCTATATGGTACCTCTCCTCTTTTATTTTTAACTGGTCTGCTTTTTGAGGTTAGCCTCCACAACTGATTAACACTGAGTGTCTTGAGGACACATTTCGGATTAATTCGCGTGTCTGCAGGTGGGACAGATCATTGCAGGAAGATGTTACACTTCTAGATGTCATATTAATCACTGCAACATATGAATGTGCCTAGATGAGAACAAACAGTTCTTTACTGTGGCTGGCTGTGTATTCTGAGTGGCATTCCAGCACAGAGGATGGGGGTACCTACTAATGTGAGCATGTGACTAATTCATACACTAAAAAAGTTTTGTGTCTTCTTATCTTGGCACGCCATCACTTGTGTTTTGTTTGCTTTGATTATCTAGTGGTAACAACAGGCAATGTTACAGTCCCTGTTGTCTCTGAATGTACTGATCTAGTCCCTTAGCAGCTGTGTTGTCACTTAACTTTTTCCATTCTGTCCTGAATTCCTGCGGAGTCAGTCTATTAACTGCCTCAATAAAATGTATTCAACCGTATAAACTTTATTGATATCCTTCCATTGGTGGATCCCATTAGGCCACACACCGTTAGAGGATGGCACGTTGGCGACAATCCCCGTGTTCATCAGGGGACCAAGCTAACAGAACAAACAGTAAGGACAATAAATTTGTGAGGAATTCAACGCAGCAATATACCACATAGATATATTTGCTATATCTCTGTGCTTCAGTCTCTGCTCTCGACATCTTTGGCAGCAAATAGTAACACAATGCTCTAGGAATTTGGTTATCTTGAAGTGCAGTCCGTGCATAGTAGCAATGCTCTGTTAAAGGGGGTCTGCACGGCGGGGATGAAACTGAGCTGGCCAAAGGTCTGTGTGCTACCCAAGCTGAGCTAACCACACCAGAGGGAACACTCAGCACGTACACTTAAAACTTTCTCTGGTGACAGCTCAAAGGACTGACGAGCAGCTGCTGCTTAACACAGGTGGTCCTCCAATAAAGGTACAGCAGGCTGGCATTCCATATATTTCGGGATACTTTGGGGAAATCAGTCAAGACAGGTGGTTGCCCAGGAAGGCTACGCTCCTGTACAATGAGCTTTGCCAAAAGATGTAAAACAAACCCCACACGGATATTCTTAATAATGGCCACAAAGTGTCTGGCTCTCATAACTGCTATAAACCTGAGCTTATAGCATTGACTGGCAATAACTAGAGGGGTGGCTGGATGGCCAGTACTTGAGCCCAGCAATATGAAGATCTTCATTAATTCCATGACTGTACCGTAGATTTTTCTGGGAAGCTTTGGTGACTTTATTCAAACAAAGGTTAGGAGAAAGTGAGGCCTGGATATACTTTTTTTTCTGTAAGAATCATGCACACATAATTTTGAAAGTGTATTTTCCCACGAAAGTAAATATTTTATGAAAGTGTCTGGCCTGCAGCTAGAGATTTCATATTATCATGTAATCTGTTCTTCAGATGCTTTACAATAAATGTCAAAATGTTCTGCTGGAGAAAGTGTAATTACCATTTTCATAACAGGTAGTGGACTGAGACACAGCATGATTATGTGACCTGTTCAGAACCAGTCAGGTTGTATCTCCAGCACAGGTTAGAGTGGAACCGTCCTCAGAATCTATGCTATGCCTTAACAACACAAAATTAATAGTGCATGTATTGCTGCTGTCCTTCCCACTGTGCTGAGGAGTCAGCACAAGATCTGTGCACCACTCAATCTCCCAGTCTCTGTTTTTAAGGGTCTGAATAGGTCTCTGACTGGTTCTCTGCACAAAGGTACATTTCACTTTAGAATTTTTGACAGCTCAGTTAAGAAGTTCATGAAAGATTAATTTTTGTTTCCCCACTGACAATCCACAACAGCAGAGCCATCCTGTTTGTCGAACAGTATAATTCTGCCCTAGAAGCTGTACTTGGGTGAATCAAGAGTACTATTCTGGCAGCTTCAGCAGTCTGCTTGTGCTTTCTGTCAGGGACAGAATCTACCTACTGCTGCAGATTCCCGTATAGCACAAGGGAGTGCTAAACCTTACCCAGAGTTTAAATGCTTCATTAATATATTAATAATGAATAGGCCTTCTAAGAGGCTTCTGAGCAGCAAATATTAGGGTGATAGCTCTTGAATTCCTGATCCGCAAACCCACAGGCTTATCTCTGGTCATTATTTACCAGTTCATAGCTCTTTGTTTCTTCACCTGCCACTAATATTTCTTTCCCTTTTGCTACTCTCTGCTTTTAACATAACTCCCTCCTTCCAGCTGGCAAGAGAGGTTCAGGGGCTTGTTTCAGAGTAATGCTGCTCCAGAGTCACAAAGTTAATAGCTAGAAATGTGCAATGCAACCAACCTGTAGCTGTGCTGCTGCTGAAAGCATCTTTTGCCGGGCTTGAAGTGCAGTTGATGAGGACACAGATACAGACATGTTCTGCCTCAGCCATCTGATATCATCCCACATGCAAGACAACTGCAAAAATAGATCCAGGTCAACCAGTTTTTGTTCTTAGCATTGACAAAAGCAGAAATGAAACTAAAGGCATTTTGGACTACATAGACATCACTAGTAGAGATCACTCATTTTGAATTTATGTGGATGACTAAGTTGCTTAGATAAACATGAAACAGATATGGAATCAGACACAGAAGTTATTCTATAGACATCATGCAACTATTTAAATTTTTTTTTTTTTTACAATTGTGTAAAATCATTTTACTGTTCTTTGGGCTATGAAAAATAGTGTGAAGATATCTTAAATATATATAACCATATTAATATAACCATAATACCAACTTTAAAACGTCTAGTTATTTCTTTAGGCTCTTCTAAATCCTCATAAAACCTTTATGTATCCAAGTTGCAACCACTTATGTAGAATCATATATTTAAAATAATTAATTGTGCCACTGTCCGTGACCCAATCAGCATTTAACCCATATAAATGGTTTGAGAAAACTGCATTTTAACATGAGTGAAAAGTAAAACACTTCATCATTTAGCTTTTTAATGATGTAAATTCATATATTCAGCATGATGAGCTAAGGCCCACGCATTGCTAGCAACAAATTTATAGAAGCAATATATGAAATTAAGCTCCTGTTACCTTTGTAAACCACAGGAAATCCTGCATAACTGAACTACTGTGAGAGTCATCAATTTCCACAATTGGGATTTGGTCTTCATTGGTTACTAGTAAATTATCTTTGTAAAAAAATATAACTGATAAGTAGAGTCCCCTAAAGAAAGAAGGAAACATTGTCAAACATCTCTGATGTCTGTTCACATCCATGCCAAATTTTAGTCAAAGAATCATAGATGTTAAGTGCTGAGGAGACAAATAGAACTTAACTTCTAGACTTAACTTCTGTGTTATATAGATCTGCAACTTGAGCCAGTGAATTATGAAAAATATTTGGGAAGCTTATAACTTGAGACTATGTGAAAATACAGGAATCTAAGAACTCATGAGTCTGTGCAAGTCACTGACATCAGTTTTAGTAAAAATTTTGGCAGAGTAAACAGTACACAATGGAGGCTTTATGCCTTCTAGAAAACAGAAATTTTACCAAAACTTTTCATCATTAATGGACTTAGTTCTTCCCTCATTTAGCTCAGAGTAAATCTGAAGTAACTGAATTGAAGTCAGGTGGGTTATTATGGATTTACATTAGTGTAATTGAGTATAATTTAGGCAGTATTTCTACAAAACTGTTTATAGAGATAATTCCTTTCAATATTTACCCTTGCAATTAGTTACATACATTAAGTAGTTGCCTTAGGGAATTTAAAGACTCTGGAGAGCTCTTCTGAAAGAATCAAACTGTTATCAAAATACAAAGACAAAGCAAAATGAATGCTCTTGGCAATGAAAGAAGAAATAATCCATCATAAGCAACAACCATTTGCTAAAACAAATTGTCAAGGCTGAGTGTTGTTAGGTCACACTGGATTGAAAACCTAGCTAAGGAAATTAGAGAATTTTGCATGATGCTTGTTGCCAGTGGGCTATTAAAACACATTATCTGAGCTCTGCATTTTATATGATGAGTGAAATAAATACCACAGTTTCATTACTGAGCAGCAACAGAGGCAGCACTTCTGAAACACCTTAGTAACTGCACTTTGTGTTTGCACAGAATATCCCACTTTGTTTCATTTGTAATCCATTTCCAGCACTAACAATGAAAGGATTCTATTGGTGTCAGTAGGAACCGGAGCATTATTTTCCTGTCAGCTGCACCAGTCTTACACATCTGTGATTTTATCAGGTTTATTCTGATTGATTGCTGTTTCATTGGCAGTGGAATCTTCACATTAATTTCTAAGGTGATTTTACTTAAGAGCAAGAAGTGCTACCTAAAACTCAGGATGTTCAGGAGATATAATGAATGACAAACCGTTTCAGAGTCTTCACAAACTTGTTTGATGAATGGAAAAGGTGCTTCAGGCTTCTGGAAACTGATTGCTTGCGACCAGTGTTCTGTAATTTAGAACTTTCTAAAACAGAAAATAAAAAGCAAACCAAGCTCAGCACTTAGATTTCACTTGGTATCTGAAAAAGAGCCTTTGTCTCTTTAACCACAAAACTAAATTTCAGTCAGTGCGCACTATATTCCTTTCAAAAGTCAACATTTAGAAACATGTTCAAATGAAACCTTTTACTTATATTTTCATGATCTTAGTGATTGTTTGCAACAGCAATTTCCTTACCTGCCACAAAGTCAGACTTGGTAAGAATGTTTTGCTCTTGGGCAAAGACAGCTTGAACAAGTCCTACGTACTCTTAGTGTTCAGAATGGATATGAATTTTGCAAGTGCTCTCAAAAACTGAAGAAGAGATTCAAACCATCACTTAACATTTTAGGTTGTTGTAATTCCCCAGTTTCTGTCCATATATAGCGTAAGCTTCCAGGAACTGAATAGTTAGTGCAATCACTAACATCACAGCATAACCAGTCTAACCTTAGCAAGTCTAACCTTAGGGCAAGAACTAGATAGGCCCTCATCTTCCTCAGTATCACATTAAATGCATGTGCTTTTGTTTGGATTTTAGATTTAGTCCATCACAACCGTTTCCACTCACTTGTATTGCTTCAGAGCTTTCACAGGTACATTTGCTCCCTAGTTATCTGGAATCCAAGCAAGAAGCATGTAGCTCATTTTGTTCACTTCATGTCAAAGCTGAGGCCTGCTGTGTGCCTACAAGGATCTCTGGACAAGCTCTCTCAACAGAAGAATTTTATGAATTCAAATATTTGCCCAATATTCTAAAAAAATGTGGTTAAATTTTTATACATTGAATTATTTTTCACTTTCCTGAATTTGACTTATGTCTTTCCTTCTCTCATGCATGGCCTGAGTTTCCCTGTAAAGCAAAGCAAAATATTGCAGTGGGAAGTGAAGCTGTGTCCATCTGTGTACCTGTAAGCAGATTTTAGAGGGTATGCCAATAGATGGCAGTCAGGAACATGCAGGAGTGTATAATGTATAATGTATAATGTATTGTCAGTTGTTGTTGTCTACCTATGGCATTTAGAAGGAATGGGTACTTAAAACTGTTTGAGGTTTTCTTGCATTGTCTTTTGTGATGCCCTTCCTGTTTAATGCTGTTGTAAAAGAAACAGCAGAAACATTTAATTTTAAAAATAAATTAATTTTTCAGATATTTACTGTGATCCGAAAAGAAAGACAAAAAGAAAAATGTAACTGTGAAAGGACATCTCAGTTTTCCAGGATCTGATGTTTGGATAAAGCATGGATACCCATCCAGAGTTAAGTGTGGAACATTTTGAGGGACACCCTTTTCCAGTGGAGAGAAAAATATGACTCATGAAAAACTGTTCACTGAAAGCTGCTAATCAGTCTGCTTAGGTGTTTTCAGAGTAACATATTTCCCACTTACCTCCAATGCAGAGTAGGAGGTGTCTGTCTGCATCTCCCTAGTGAGTTCTAAGTTTGAACATTTAAAGAACAGCTAAATTTGCTATTGTCAAAACCCCATCTGTGGAAGTGTTCAACATATTTTTAAATGATGAATAAATTTGCACCATAAATTGCACATTGAAAACCACAGAAAAAAGACACATTGTTAGCAGTAATTACCACTCTGCTGAACAGCAAGTACAAAGAGAACAAGGTTCTACTGGGGGTGAAATCATACAGTTCAGATGTATGAGACTTATTAGATCATCAAATTCATTGTCTTTCCAGTGCAAACTTGTTCTCTGTGGCATATTCTCCAATGCACTGTTCAGTTTAGTTTCAACAGACTCATCCAAATCCATGACTCCTTCTTTGATGCAACTGATCTTTGTTTGCTTTTCCTTTAAAAAAAAAATAATTTACTTTTCTATCCATATCTTCTCAAATAATTTTTATTTTACTGTGAACTAAATGCTACATGAAAAATCCTGTCTTAGTTTCCTCCTTCCAAGGTTAAGATCAATTTAGGTAAATAAATTTCATTCTAATGATGCAATTTTTATTTTCTTCTATATTAAGGATAGAGGGAATGGAGGAGGAAATTGCTGAAGGCAAAGCAACATAATACTGTATAAAACACCCAGAGATTGCAGCATTAAAATAAGAGGGCACATTAGAAGTGAAATATATGTGATTGGGCTGTTCAGTGGTTTGGGTTTAGTCCACAGCTTTGCAGAGCCAGAAGAAAAAGAAATAAACTAAAACTAGATGGAGACTGTAAACTCTCCTACATTGCTATTTGCTTTTGTTTTACAGTATAGTGTGCCTAGAAGCCAAAAAACTTGGAGCTGAGATTAGAGGATAATTTGGATCTACAGGAAATGGAACTTTGTCTGTTGTTTAATTAACCAATAAATAACATAGAGTAGCCTTTATAGAAAAGCACCAGTAGGAACAAAATAAGTTTATATTGATAAATGATACAGCAATAGAGCTGTGACCTCTCTTAATAGAAGCTCAGGAGCAAGCAAATAGTGGCTGAAGTTAGAGAAGTTTTCAGTGATTAGATTTAGATCAGAAGTGTTCAAACCTGAATTGAAATAGGCAATTAACTACAAAGGTATATTGACAACATTAGCAGTTTTTCTCTTCTCAGGTAGGATATGTACATGTTTTTGCAATTCACTTAAATACAACAGATACTTAAAAGCAGTAAGTAGGTTGTGGGTGAATAAGAAAGTAACATGCTCAGGCTGCCAGTGTGCATCTGAGGTCTCTGCTCTAGAGGAATGTCTGCTATGCCGTGCCATTGCTCTGAGGAGAAGATCATCTGGAATTCTTTGTCCTGTCACTAGACAAGCGGGTGCCTCTCCTCAAGTGGGGCAGATGTGAAGTAAATGGAATTACCTCAGTGCAAAATTATCTGAGATCTTAGCCCCACAAATCAGACAGCCAGTGGTACAGCTAAATATAATTTAGGGTGACCCTGAATCAGGAAGCAAATAAGCACAAGATGAGCTAGATCCCTCTGAAATCCTAGTGGAGGGCATAAAATGGGGCTTAGGGTTTTCCCTAATTGTGTAACCTTATGAAAGTACATTGAAACTGGAAACTTCCAGACAAATTCAAACTCAGTTTAAAGCTGCACATTTTTAGCAGTGCAGACAATTGACACCAGGATAATGTGCATGGAGACATAATTCCACACAGAAGTTAAGGTATAAGTAGTGGCCAGACACCCCAGTAGATTGAGACTGTGACAGATTCTGTGTTACCTCACCTCAGGGTGGGATGTCTTTCAAAAGAAAATTCTGTATCTCATGAAGAAGGTGTTGGCATGACAATCACAGCACTGTGTGGTATATTTTGGATTACAAAGTCGGGGTAAACAGTTGAAATTGCAACTTCTCAATTCCCTAACCTGAACTTCTCAGTCTGTGGCTTAGTTCTCAAGCCTGCTTTTGTATATTCTCACAAATAATTCTAATCTAAATACTTTAAATGTCCTGTGGAATCAGAGATCCTTCTCTTTGTTAAATGTAATAAAAGTATGAGCTCTGCTTGTGAATCATATTACAGTTAGGACATTTTTATTTCACCTCTGATTTCTCTAGGAATATACATTTTGACTAAATCTCAGAAAGAAAGTATATGGTAAGCATTTTACTGAAGAGTTAGGTTTCTTTCTTAATGAAGCATCACACAATTACTTAATCCACTCAGAATTGTTTAGACGGAATGATCTACAAGAAAAAAAATACTTTAAAAATACATTTGAAGTGTTGCCAGGACATACAGTTGTAGTAACTCAGTTATGATAGCCTGTAGCACGGTATTATGAAGACAAATGGATGACTGTTGTTTGTAATCATCAGGGTTTTCCAGAAGATTAAACATATGAAAGCAAAGCTTCCTAAGTAATTCCCTAGGAGATTTCATCATATCATAGAGCAGGTTCAAAAGCAACAGCTGATCTAATTCCAAAAGCTCTTAAACTCACTGTACATTCCAATGTATTCTTCCTGGTATTTTTGTAAGCTGGTTTTCTTTGGCCCCCAATGCAAAGCATAGGGCAAAAGGCAAGCTGCAGTGCAAAGCCTGAATGAACAGACTTGGGCAAGAGATCTGCCTGGAATCTGGGCAATTTATCCCTCCCAGATCATGCTGGAGCACCAGCACACAGCCTTGCTCCTCTAGCTCCTCTGTATTCTGAGGCTTTTGCCTGTGTTATCTGAGCAATCTCAGGCCTTTGGATGGATTACCTGCAGTGTTTTCCACCTCCCTTGCACTCATCCTCCACTCTCCCCCAGCCAGCCTGAGCAGGATGAGTGCGACACCCTGCACACAGGCCAAGGTGCCAGGGCCCCATGTTTGAGCCCTGTCTCTGTCTTCACTGGGTCTAATTCCTGCAGAGCTTGACGCTGCTCTCATTTGTAAAGCACAGTAAACCAGTGGTTGTAAGGAGATTCAAGGACACTACAAGCGATGTATAGCTATTTACTGATATCTGTAATACCAATGAGGAAAACAGAGGTTACAATTCAAGTAGAGTGTAGTAAAGAATAGATGAATGCCTGGGCAGGTCCTCAGCTTATGTATAACAGCCATGACTCCTGTCCATGTAAGCTGAATCACGTTAATGTACATTAATTAAGAATCTAACTCAGGCCTCTTTATGATGTGAACACCATTATTTGAGTTTTCCAGTCATATACAGTAGCTTAGCTCAGATCCTTCATCAAACTCCTCCGATTTCACCAGGGTTGATAAAAGACCAAAATAAAATTTCAGAGTCAAAGTGATGTCATAAGTCTTACTTTTCCTGCCAACACTCTGCCTTGATTCTTGACCAAGTTACAAGGGATTGACATCCATCATATATTTAAGGCAAGTTCCAAAGGCTCTCCTATTATGTTACAGTCCTAATCTACCCAAAATATTCTACTATGCAATTCTGGCATTACAAGCAATTAAGGGATTTTTATTTGGTTGGAGGCAAGGGTGTTGCTCAAACTGACTCCACAGCGTGGTACTGCCACATGTAAGCTCCCACATCCTTTTTTTCAGACATACAAGAAAGTGTTCTGAGCCAAACAGATTTTCTATGTTGTTGTTATTTATTATTTGAGAAAAAGGAGATAGGAAATCAACAACAGTTGTCTGTGCTTTGCTTTGAGACTGGGCTTAATTTCTGCAGCAGTGGAATTTTATAAGAACGAGGCACTGGTGTCAGATTCTCAAAAGGAGGGATTTTCTGCATGTTGTTTATAGCTGCTTCTGTTCTGGGCTGGTATGTCAGTAAAACAATTTATACTAAGAATATTTTCAGATGTTCCGTCACTTAGTCCCTGTTGACTGGGAAGGTGGCCTGAAAGACTTGGGACATCCACTAACTTCAGAGAGGAAAAACTGTACCATGGAAAAAAGGCTTCTTTGATAGCATGAAAGAGCTATGTAAGAGGTAGAGCACATTGTCTGCATTTTCAGCACCAAGACCACCTGCAAGTGGTAATACTTGTATGAATTTTAATTAGAGACACAACATTTTTTTTTTTTTCAATATCTCCTTTCCCTTTCTAAGCAACACAGCCGAATAGTTTAAGTTGCTATGGTTACAGTGGGTTGTGGCAGACTCTGGATCATCAGGCAGTGACTTCTTTGCACGTAAAGAGCAAGGGCTGCATCTTTCCATCTCAGCTGGATGATTTTAGCCTGAAGTATTTCTATGATTTTAAATCAGTTGATGCAGCTTGACATAACAGTCATACGAGGTGAAGAAAAAATTAAAACTTCATGGTAGTTCAGCTTCTCAGTTTAAAATAAGCTCCTTTGCAACAAAGCATCATTCCAGTTAGAAGTTTATTTTAAGAAAATAAATAGTACTTTTCAACAACTCATATAGAACAGGAGTTTTTATATAGGTTTTTAAAAGAATGCCAAGCTGTTGCCTTGGCTCTTGAGCTATTAAAGGCACAGTCTGTTTCTCATGAATGAAGAGCAAAGAGCTGGCTGAGTTTCGAAGTCTTTCCTAGTTTTGATCCATTCTATTTGAAAATGTAGCAATCTTATCTTCCCACTGCACTGTGCAAGTATTTTTCATTATAGATTGGCATCACATCCACTAGAGTACTTAGTGTCTTCCATTTGGAGGCAGCCAAGTCCCTTCTTTTTATCCAAAACAGTTGTTAACTCTCTAAAGTATTTCTTTATATGAAAAAAATAAAAGAGACATCCTTGAAACATTTTAGTGGAATCCTGTGTGAAAGTAATTTGTAGGAAAAACCAAATCAATAGGTGTGTAGGGTACAGAGAGAAAGGGTGTGTCTGTGCTTGTGTTCATTCTAGCTTTCAGATGTTTTCATCCAGCTGATTTCAAGGGTTAAGAGCAAGATAGTGTGCTAAAGTGATTCCAGATGGGCCAATATTAATATCTTTCTTTTCCTGATGAATGAGAAGGTATGACCTAGTTAGAAAACTGCTAAAATTACAGGCGCCAGAGAGGCTTCAGCTGTGCCCTACCACATAGATATTTATCCTTACCTCTGCAATTATAATGCTGATGAGCTGCTCGAACCTGCTGAAGGAGGCGTTCCAGGGCCTCAGTGTGTCCCCTGTGCCGAGGTTCTCTTCCACTGCAGTCTTTCCAGTCTATTGAACAAAGGAAATAAACAGAAATGAAACACAAAGGTGCAGGAGAAAGTTTTAAACTCTTTCCTTGCCTCTGGTACTTCTTGGCTTTAGAGAGTTTTACATCTAGGCATGCAGGAAAAATGGCAGTTGTTTTTAAGTCTGCTGTTGCTACTTGTACAATAAGTTTCCTTTGCCTTGTGCCAGCTAAGTAATTAATCATAATGATTATTAAAGAAGAGCTCAGAATCATCTCCTTGAAGCTCCAGTAGTGACTGACTAGACAATGGCTATTTCTCTTCAGTACCTAAATGGGCTCTGCTGCTGTAGTGTCAGAGCTGCTCTCAGCCTGCACTGTCCTGGCACTCCAGTACCTCACTGAGGTCACGCTGCTGCTGCCTCTGCTTTTTGCTGAGGCACCAGGAGGATGACTGTCCTACAGTTACATGGGAAACATTGCAAAGCAGAGAATGAACATCTTCCTATGTCCAGATCTAGCTCTGTAGCCAAAGAAACATTCTCTCGAGTAAAATCACTTCTTAAAATCTGCTCCCAGCAGAGTCCTGAACAAATGCTGGCAATTCCTGCCCTGTAGCTCAGGGTCTGCTCAGCAGTGCACTCGTGAGGCGAGCAGCTGCGGTTTCTGTCCCACACACCTCCAACCTACCAAAGACTTTGTTTTCACTCATTGCTTCTAGCTACAATGTCAATCTTGATTTTAAAACCCAGACAATCTCATCACAAGTAGGAGGATGAAACCATGTGTACCAGAGAGGAGCTTTTTATTCCAGGCGTGACTATTTTCATACATTCATTATAATGAGAAAAAAGTATTGCACGAGTTTCCTGACTCTGAGTAAGTAGATCAAGGTATTAAGAGATCTGCCTGCATGGTGACATGCTCCCATCTCGCTGCCACAGGGGCCACGTATGTGTTCACAACCACCAACAAACAGTTTGCTCACTCACTAAATACACAGATCTGGTTTCTAGTGCAAGTTTGGAGTCAAGCATTCCTTCCAAGGGGCTCACTACGCCAGGGATATAAATATGTATTTGCTGCCTTTGAGTATAGCAGCTAAAGTAAGCCCCATGAAAGGGTGGAAAGAGAAGACATTTGCAACCCTGATAGCCTGTGGGGCTGTGACAGCTGCAGCGTGGCTGTCCTGCGTGTCCTGTGCATGCTATGGCAGAGCTCAAGGGCCAGCTGCACTTACAGCTCTGTGTGAGAAGACCAGTTCTTAGATCTCCTGAGAGCAGCTAAGAGGAACCAGCTGGAACTCACCAATCTCAAAGGGCTTTGGTGTCAAGAAACTGGTAGAGTTTCAAACAACCTCATGATTTCTCTATCCCAGTGGTTTCCAAACTTTCTGAGCCTCCAGACTGGTGACTACCTTAAAAATGATGTGGAAATCAGACCATCATTGCCCATCACTCATGTTAATGAATAAGCCTAGAGATGTTACTGTCTGCTATGATTTCACAGACCAGCTGCACAACACTGGCCACCACTTTCCAGACTGCTACTGGGGGGGGTGGGGGGGTGGTGACAGGAGGACAGTGGCAACCATTCACTGTCATGCTACACAGATGCATCTCCAAGGATGTCACTAACATTTGATGCTCTGGGATTGAAGTGGATCAGGATTAAGCCCTGAAGCTTTCATTTTCCTTGCATATTCTTCTGGCTGCTGCTACAGACAACTTTGTAGAGAGTATTAATGTATTCACATTTAATTTTTAGCTTAGGGCTGTATTTTGTTATGCAACACTGGTGTAATTTCAGATTGCTGCCTTCTTGCCAAGGTCAAATCTGCTAGTTTTCAAAACCAGTGGTGAAGGCAGTCACGTGGATAAAGAAGTTCTGCCCCCAGTAACCGCAGTGGTAAACAGCATGTTGTCTCAAGCTAAAATTCTGATGTTAGCATGACTTAATGAAAAAATTTACATTTAGGCTCTAATGGTCTTGCTGTAAAGCTTTAGCACGTTTAAGGATGCTTAATGAAAATACCACATTCTTGCAATTAAATACACTGATCTGAGTCTGCCTAATGCTTCTGTGTTCCTCAGCAAATCAAAAATACCTATATAGCCATGAAGAAACATTTCTCTTTGCCATAAACTCATAAAAAAACCTCAGGTGATGCTCCTGCTCTCCTACAGGGAAATGCAAACAACTTTGGTTACCTCGGCTGCCTTTTCAGAGAAACACCCTGACAATGATAGTCCAGGGCACTTCAGTAGCACTACCATGGGTGGTACTGGTCTCTTTGCTGGAAGCAGGGACTTCACCAAGTTCTGAGGAGCTGCACGTGACAATGTGGCCCTAAAGCCAGCATGTTTAGGACAAGAGGTGTATTCCTGCCACTTTAAAGCCCAAAACCCTGGAGACAGTAAACATGGGACATGAACTTAATTCTCTGCATAGTTTTTGTGTCAATCCACTGAAATATGCAGGAAAACTTCCTTTCCATCCCAAAGCTTTGGCACTGGCACATATCATCAGATTACAGAAGGTGAGTTACAGTGGACAAGAAAGAGTCAGGGAAGCCAATGCCAGGAGTGCCCTGTTCTTTGGGGGTATTTATCTGAATCATTAGCAGCTACTGTAAAAGAGTCTGTTTGTCAGCTGATGTAAATTTTTTATTTGTGGGGCCAAATCCTGTGTAATTGTACCTAGCTATACTCAAAGTAATTGCATGTCACTGAATTATTCAAAATAGCTCTATAGTAGTGAGTTATCCACACAGCCAAGAGTAGAATTCTGTCCCATGATTGTGGCTCATCTTTGTTCTCAAACAGAATACATTTTTAACCTAGTTCTGGTTTTATTCTGGGGTAATCAACAGCACAATTGAAGCAAAATGGGAAATGGTATTATAAGAACCTTGTTTATTCAATCCTCTCCATAATGACAACAGAGAATAGGTACAGCTTGCTTTGTTTTCTCACATTAGCATGCAAGGTTATTAAATTGTTACATTAGCCTAATAAAAACAAGTGCTAATGCAATAAAATGAAAAGTCCCATTTTACTGCATTAATCGATACAAAGGAAGCTGTAATAAACTGAGGCAGTTTGGTAGTGAACACTAAGTCTGGAAAAGCAACTATCAATACAATGTAATAGATTACAAATTACAAATAAGAAATCATAGTTCTAATGGAGTCTGAGAAAACTTGTCATAGGTTTGAAAAGGAAAAAAGGCTTTTGGATATGTCTTGAACATTTTAGTGCTTACGGGCTAGATCCTATCAACATGCGTGTCCATACTAGAGTATTTTACATATGAATGCTATAAGAATGGTCCAGTGAGTGGGATCTATAATGCTACAGGGCAGAATACAAAGTTATGTATTATACATGTAAGCATTTTGGTTCTAGCAGTTCAGCTTCAGGTTTTGATCCATTCATGTACTGACAAATGAGGTTCCATATAGCAGAATTCTGTTAAGAGAAACGAAGTTCAAAATATTTCTCATTTTTTTTTGTGTTAGTGATTAGATTACAATGTTCTATCAAAGGACTGGAGAAGAATAAAAGATAAGACAAATAAATATACCTATATTATTATTTTGCTTTGTTTTGAAGAGTGGAAGAAGTTGAGTTTTATTTAGTTAGTTACTTCACTCCTAGATGACATGGCAATTAAATCATGAACTGCAAAGCATTTATCTTTTTCTGTTCTTTGGGGAGGGAGAAATTCTTACAAAGCAACACCACTTATCAAACTAGGAGGATAAACAAACTCAACTTACTTGAAGGAGAAGCATATTCTGGAGTAGATTTGCGTGGAGGTCCCCAGCCTCTCATGTTGCATGCTGAAACATGGACATAATACCTCTTGCCCTACAAATGGAAACAACTGGAGTCAAAACTATTACTTGACTCAGAATCTTGGTTGTAATCATTGGAAAGCAGTCCCTTAAAAAGATGCTTTCTGTGAAAAACTTAAATAGCTTTCAGTGGTATCAAGTGATGCACCATGACAGGTTGAGATGTAGTACAAAGATTTCAGGATCTGCTGAGGGTTACCAAAACACACCAGTCCCAACTGACAAACTGCAGCCTCTTCTGCCAAAGCCAAATGCTGGGAACTCACAGTCAGACTTCAGGAACAGGGACTCCTCTTTTTCCTGTGGTATTTAACAGTCTCTACCAGCACAGCAATGGAAGAAGCTTTGTTTGGCTGCCACTGAAAGCAGTCAGACGTTTATCGTTGATTTTGATGCATAAATCCAGGGTAATGGAGAGCACTTCTGAAAATCTATCTTTTAATTTAAATATGTTATATACTTTAGAAAATATAGACAAACAGACAGCAAGCCCAGTTTTTAACATGTGTCTATGGAAGTGACTGTGCAAGCTTGTTTGATTTTAACTTAAGAACAGTTACTCTGTTTTGTTAGAAAATGAGAAGCAGAGTAAATGCTCCCTGGAAGACAGTGTGCTTCAAATCAAATATTTCTTCAGTGAAAATGCTAGGAAAAAAGAGCACTTGTTTTTCTGTAATAGATAGAGGGTTTTCTGTTGTGCCTATTGTTTACTCTTTAAAGTTAATTCTCTCATTTAGAACGCCCATGTTTTGGGGTGCTGGCCATGTGCATACCTCCCCCTACTATAACTTTGTAGGCTTGGTTCAGTGTGCATTCAGTGGAGAGGTTCTAGCTCAACAGGTGCAGGATTTGGCCCTTCTGATGATGTTTCCAATGGAATAATTGTATTTTGAGCAAGCTTTATTTTCATGAGTTATTTTGTGAGTCAAAGCTTGCTTGCAGAAATGGTCCATTCAGGCTGTTCAAGCCTGTAGGAAAAAGACTTTCAGACACATGGTCAAAATTATTCTGCCTAAGAATCCATATGAATATTCATGAATTTTCTCCATCGCTGACCTGGTTCTTATCATTGGAAAACATTTATATGAAAATGAATAACAAATGAAACTGATTGCCACCAATATGAGTGTTCCTGGAAGAAGCAGAAGAGAAAGAACTGTTATTTTAGCTATTGGTCATCAGAGTCAGGACTAGACCTTTCATGAGCCTTTGATCTGCACTAAGATTATCCCATGATCCAGAAAATAGCAGCTTTGACTCCAGTCTTTTCTGATCTCCCCTAAGCCTGACAACTTACAAAACAAATCATGCTGTCTGTCTATTCCTTTGTGAGTTTTGTATTATGGATACTAGAAATACCATGCTTAATGTCTGGAACTTGTTCCTGAAAGAAGGGCACTCTACAGTTATTAGCAACAGCATGGATGCAAATCGTGAGTGTCTCTGCATCACTGCGGCAGCAATGGGCATCAAGATCTAAATGACTCACTTGGCACTTACCGTTCTGAGACCTGTGATGGTGCATCTCAAAGACTGAAGATTGTCCATAATTATTTCACCATGCAAAGGAGAAAAATCTTCTGAAGAGCTCCATTCCACTAGGAAACAATTAACAGGAGAAAAATCAAATCAGATGCTGGTCCAAGCAAAGAAATCCAAGTACTCAAATCATTGACAAGTTAACTTTTCTCCTAGCAGTTTCTCATTCCATGTGGATACTAAAAGTAATGCTTAACAATAATGTTTAGCAAAACTTCACACAATAATTAAATTATATTTCTGTGCATGAGAGAGAGAAGCAAAATATTGCTTAAAAGTTTTTCAGGAAAGAACGCTTAAAAATACGCTGCAATACAAATTACATTCAGTCAACATTTGCCCTCATTCAAATAGTTTCATTTTAAAGAAAGAGAAGTAGTGGAAAGGAGTAGGTAGAGGATTTGGATCTGCTAATGCCACTTGGCAGTTTATGCATCCAAATCAACAAAAGGTAGTTTTGCAATTGGTTCTGCATGGGCAGAGAGTCCTTTTGGCTCCACATGTCCACAAAACTCTCACCACCTAGCCTTGGCTAAGTTCTGTAGAAATAACCTCCTTGGACTACATTCAACAATCTGCTAGAGTCCCTTATTGGTCTAAGTGGCTTCTGGCTCTCTTGTCCAAGCCTGATGCTTCTGTGGTCACTGAAATTACAGAGCTCCACAAGGATCTTTTAAGTTGTATCCACTTCTTAAATGAATTAAGTGACACTGGGCAGACATGTTCCTCCCAGCTTGTCCTGCAGACTAAATTACAATGGGTACCTTTACCAAAGTGCTCCCCATCAGCTTGCACAGATGAGATGTATTCCTGCTTAAGGGGTTATGAAATTAGCATTCCTTTTGTCAATACTCTTCCTCAGTATTTGCAAAAATGAATGTGAATGTAAAATAGTATCAGACCATGAAAAACTACTAGGTTGCTTAAAAAAAGGAATATATGCAAGTGGGGAACTGATGGCTGTAGGTAGGAAAACAGCCTCTTTTTCTTAAATCATACTTTATTAATGACAGTTACCATGATTAGAGTTCAGGTTAATCCTGGAGTCATACCTCTGGCATTTAGTAACTTGTGCCTTCAGACTCATGCTTCCAGGAAAATCCATCAAAAACATAGTGAAATAAATCTCTTAAATCATTCTACCGTAGGTGCGGGAAAATCCCATCAATTTTCTGGATTTACCAAAGCAGAGAATTCCAAACAAAACTTTCCCTTTAAGATTCACAAAATAGTTTATAGATACTTTGTTTGTATATTCATTAGTATTGGAGTCAATAATTTAGAGTGGAACAGAGTATTTTAATTTCAGCATGTGGAATTTTCATCTTCTGGCTGTGACATACTGGTATTTTCATGTTAAAAGAAAAAGTCTTCAGAGAACTTTTTTTCTCAGCATTTACAACATTTAACTGCCAACACATTTTTTCTAAAATAGCCAAGTATCAATAGCACAACTCATTTTTCCTTTCTCTCCTGATTGCTCCTTTTCTGTGATTGCAATTTGTGAATGCACAGCGTGTTCTGCAACATTTTTGGATTTGCAGCAATGAGAAGGAAATTGCTTTTGTCTATTGTCTTTGAACTTTTTCAGTGTATATTTTTCTAGTTTCCCATGGCTTTGAAACACCTAATTACGGCCACCTTTAGTGAAAGCTATCTCTCTACATTGGTATGAAAATGTCAAGACTGTTACAGTACTATACTGTAGGATTTTGTTGACAGCTATAGGAATACTTACACATACCATTGAACTTGATGGCCTCACAGAGTTTCTATTGTCAACCATGATTTTCAGGGTTTATAACTACACTGTATTAAATCATCAAGGGCATTGTATAAAAGCTACAAGCAGACATGTTCTCTGTTTTGCAGAAGGATAAATTGGAGAAAACCTGTTCAAAGTGCTGAACATGTCAACAGGCTTGCAGTCACTTGTGATACCATTTTTCTTTTCAAAGACTCCTGCAAAGCAAGGTAGTGTCACTCAGGACAGATTCTGCCAACAAATCCTATCTTCACTGAAACCCCCAAGTTGGCTGAGTTTGCTTCTCAGCATGAGGGGCAGTGGCAGGTCGTACTTCAGGCAGCACAAAACAAAAGCCAAAGGTGAAATAAGCAGCTTTAAACTGCTTTTGAGCTTCCCAGATTTTTAGCTGTTCTATGGACTGGAGACTGCTCAAATATAAACCGTAGTTCAGAGATGTATTTAAATTTGGGTAGCTTACACAAACAAACATTGCAGCCCTATTCTTGATGTGGGTCTTCTTCTCAACCCTTCCACTTGTGGCATTCAGAAAAGTGCTCCTAATATTTAGAGATCCCGACACAGTGCCTGAAGAGGAATTAACTCCCTTAATGTAAACAGGATTGCAACCCTACATGTTTGCAAGCATGTTTACAGCAGAAACATCATTATACTAGTAGTATCACTAGCAACAGCATGGCAATTTGTTCTCAGAAATAACCAAGGGCCACGGAGTTCAGAGAAAGAAGCTGAGATACCAATGGCTGGAAAGGCTGACACTGCCTTTAAAGCTGTCTTGGGAACAGCTGAGGAAGTGGGTTTTGAAATAATAAATGACAGCTTTGCTCTGGTGTTCTAGAGCAGACTGTTACCCCAGCTCATGTTGGTAGTGAAACCCTGTGTGCAGGGCAAACACCCTCATCCACTTGCTGGGTGACACCATGATCTCCCAGTCTCTTGAAGGGCAACAACTTGCTAGGGAGAACACCCAAGGCTGCTACACCTTTCGTGAGGTACAGGGGAGGGCTGTGCACCCCTCTGATCCCCTCAACCAGCCGAGTCTTCACTGGCTGCCAGGCTGAGGCTCAGCTCTGCTTCTCGTTACACAGCCGAGCGAGGCCAGCATTTCACACTTACTTTTTTATCTTTCCGTGGGGTGGCTGAGACCCATGAGATTAAAACCATAGGAATATGGTATTAGCTTGTGGATCAGGTTATGATTGAGAATCCCTCATTTAAAGGATATTTGCCTAACAAGATGGCATATATAAAGTTACTCAATATTAAATTTTAAAACATACATAAAACTATCACATTAGGAAAAAACCTCGCCTCACAGTTTCAATAAAAATTTCCATAACTGAAAAATAAATATTTTTTTGCACAGCTGTGTTGGAATAGTGCCTTCTTTGTCTCCTTGTTTCAAAGTACTACTGAAAACTTATCAACAGGATACATTGAAGCATTGCTACTTTTGACAGAATGTCATTCTCTGACTCATGAGACCTGTCATAAAGAAACTCATAACAAATTTTGGAATTTTTGGCTTACTTGTGATTTTAACAAACTTTTTTTCCCCATGATTTTACTGATTCACATGAGAAGAGGATGACATGATATAGTTTTAAAGAAATACAAATCAACTTCAGTAATTTATCACTGAAGTTTTAATCTCCAGTTATACCTTGCCAGATTTTGGGTTTCTACCATAATTGTCATGTAAGAATAATCCATAATATTCTACTATACTCATTAATTGGGTTTCAAACCTTTTAGAAGGATGTGACTATCAGTGTCCCTGTTTTATAGATGGGAAAATGAAGGCAAGGAGAGGTAGAGCACCTTATTCACTCAGCAGGCCCCAAAACAAGGGACAAACGCTTGTCACCGATGTTACGTTTATGAGGCCAGTGTTGCTCACACCTTCTGGCCATGTGGCACGTTTACACATCCGTGGTCTTCCCCTTGTGATTAACCATACCTAAAGGTGACGTAACTCTGTGCAGGAGCAACCCATCGGGAAGATTCTGCTAAATCTTCGCTTGCTTTCTGAGAGAGAGTGGAGGGAGAGACTGCTCTGGTAGTAAACAAAAAATACCAACTGTTTGTATAACTCCAAAGTACTTGGGACTTCAAGAAAGAACAAAAGGCTTAGCTAATCCCAGCACTTTAAAAGCTGAATATAAAAATGTTCAAGTATAAAAACCTGAAGATGAGAGGGTCCTTTATAAGAACCCAGGAACAAGAGCTGGTCTTGTAGACTGTAGCGAGTGTGCAGTATAGGACCTGAAAGCTGCTGGGTGAATTAAGGATGGAGCATGTTCCAGTCCTGTTCTGCACACCCCAAAGGGCTGCTTTGTTGTGAACGCTGAATGTCTTTGCTGTTGCGGCTTTCCATCTGACACTTCACGTTATGTCAGAGCAGGGTTTTTTTTTGTGTTTAATATATTGGTGACTATGTGTTTTAATGAAGGTGCCCTGTATTCCAGAGCTAGCAAATGCACGATGTGTTGCTGCGGTCGCCAAGATAAGTAGTAATTTTTAAATAAACAGCAGTATAAACAGTTACATAAAACTCATGTAAATTGCTGGCACATAATTTTAGACTGGCTTAAGTTATGTAACTTACTTGTGGCCAAGCTGTTTTTTTTTTTTTTTTTTTTAATACTCAATTCATGTAATTTAAAATACAGGGAGAAGTTTATTTTCACCTGTTTCTTTTCTACTCTCTAGCTTTCCATTATACTGAGCATAGCTTATCAGAGAGACTGACAGACAAGAGACAAAGTGAAGGCACAAAACACCTCCTGACCCTCGTGCAGATTCATTCAGGAGAGCACCTTCTCCTGAGTCAGGCAAACAGTCCAAGCCACGGTAGAATTTGCCACTTCTCTTGGCATTTGTTTTTGCGTGCACTTAAATTACTCTCTGAATTACTGAGTAGATGAAGGAGGATGAGGGACATGAGTTCTGCGGTGAGGTGATGGGGTCTGCAGGACAGTGTACTGAGCTGGGGTTCTGGGGTTTATTTGGTTTATTCTTGCATTGGCTACTGACCTGCTGTGTGACCTTGGGCAAGGCATTATGCCACTATGGCTCTTAACCCAGAATTAAACAGCAAAGGTTCTTTCTCCTTCCCTTCCTCCCCACATCCAGGGCCTAGCCTGAAGAACACTGTGGTCTTAGCTTGTGTTTCCAAGGGCCTCCAAACAAATAACTGCATTGTTCAATAGCTTCCTTTGAAATGTAAAACTGAAAGAGAGCACTAACACCAGAAACCACTTCACACCATCTTTTACTGCCTGCTGATCTTTA